TGTATGGGGCGTCGTGTGAGGTTTATACTGATCATCGCAGCTTGCAGCATCTGTTCAAGCAGAGGGATCTCAATTTGAGGCAGCGTAGGTGGCTTGAGTTATTATGACATCACCATTCTTTATCATCCAGGCAAGGCAAATGTGGTTGCGGATGCCTTAAGCAAAAAAGCAGAGAGTATGGGTAGCTTGGCATTCATTCCAGCGGAGGAGAGGTCACTAGACTTGGACATTCAGTCCATGGCTAACAGACTCGTGAGGTTGGATATTTCGGAGCCCAGCCGAGTCCTTGCATGTGTTATTGCCCAGTCTTCATTACTAGAGAAGATCAACGCCCGACAGTTTGATAATCCGCACTTGGCAGTTCTCAGAGAGTCGGTGCTACAGGGTAGTACCAAGGAGGTTTCTATTGGAGAGGATGGTGTCCTGCGACTCCAGGGTCATCTATGTGTTCCTAATGTCGATGGCTTGAGGTAGAAGATTCTAGCGGAGGCACATAGTTTGAGGTATTCTATACACCCAAGTGCTATGAAGATGTATCGTGACCTGAGGCAGCATTGTTGGTGGCGACGGATGAAGAAGGACATAGTGGAGTATGTGTAGAAGCGTTTGAATTGCCAGCAGGTCAATTATGAGCACCAGAGGCCAGGCAGCCTACTTCAGCAGATGCACATTCCTGAGTGGAAGTGGGAGCGCATCACTATGGACTTCGTAGTGGGATTGCCCCGAACCTTGCGGAAGTTTGATGCAGTGTGGGTCATTGTTGACAGGTTGACCAAGTCGGCACACTTTATTCCGATTGTGACTACTTACTCTTCAGAGAGGTTGGCTCAGATTTACTATCGGGAGATAGTCCGGTTACACGGTGTGCCTGTCTCCATCATATCAGATAGAGGCCCTCAGTTCACTTCCCATTTCTGGAGAGCTGTTCAGAGTGAGTTGGGGACATGTGTGGAGCTTAGCATAGCATTTCATCCACATACAGACGGGCAATCGGAATGGACAGTTCAGATCTTGGAAGACATGCTTAGAGCATGTGTGATTGACTTTGGAGGACAGTGGGATCAGTTCTTGCCTTTTGTAGAGTTTTCTTACAACAATAGCTACCTGTCCAACATCGAGATGGCTCCATTTGAGGCTTTATATGGGCAGCGATGTCGTTCTCCTATTGGGTGGTTTGAGCCTGGAGAGGCTAAGTTATACATCATAGACTTAGTAAAAGATGCCTTGGATAAGGTGAAGTTGATTCAGAAAAGGCTTCGCACAGCTCAGTCCAGACAAAAGAGCTATGCGGATCAGAAGGCGCGTGATGTATCATTCATGGTTGGCGAGAATGTCCTCTTGAAATTCTCATCAATGAAGGGTATTATGAGGTTCGGGAAGAAGAGCAAGTTGAGCCCAAGATTCATTGGCCCATTTGAGGTGTTGAGGCGAGTTGGGGAGGTTGCTTACGAGCTTGCTCTACCCCCCAGCTTATCGGGAGTTCATGCAGTTTTCCACGTGTCCATGCTTCGGAGGTGTCATGCCGACTTGTCCCATGTGTTGGAATTCAGTACTATTCAGCTGGATGAGAGTTTGGGTTATGAGGAGGAGCAAGTTGCCATTGTTGATAGACACGATCGCCAGTTAACATCAAAGAGGATTTCAGCGGTGAAGGTCCGGTGGAGGGGCCAACCAGTCGAGAAGGCGACCTGGGAGTCTGAGGAGGACATGCAAAGCAGATATCCACACTTATTCGGCACTTCAGGTACTTCCCTACGTCCGTTCGAGGACGAACGTTTGCTTAAGAGGTGGAGAATGTAACGACCCGACCGGTCGTTTTGCTTTTAGAACCCTGTTCCCCTAAATAAAAACTCTCCACGCTTTCTTTAACTGATTCACGACCTGCGGGGATGGTTGGTTCGGGTTTTTGAAGAGTTTGGGTTGAAATAGGCTCATTTGATTCCTTAAGATTTTCTTAAAAAGGCTAAGTTTGACTTTGGTCAACATTTTTAGCAAACGGACTCGGATTCGTGTTTTGACGGTCCCGGAGGGTCCGTAGGAAAATATGGGACCTGAGCGTATGCCTGGAATCGAATTCCGAGGTCCCTAGACCGAGTGATAAATTTTTATTGGAATTTGTTAAACTGAAATTCTACGGATTTAAAGAAAATAAATAATGAGTGATCACATTGGTATCGGGCTCGTATGTTGGCTCCGGAGCCCAGTACAGGTCCAATATAACATTTAAGACTTTCCCTCAAAAATTTGGTGTCAATCCGAGTAGTCTAAGTGTGTTTCAACTAGTTGGAAGTGAATTAAGAACTTGAAGTTCATAAGTTTGATTCAATTGGTTTTAGGGGGTGATTCTTAGATTTAGAGTTGTTTCGGGTGATCCGAAGGTTTGAGCAAGTCCGTTTCATGATTTCAGACTTGTCGGTATGCTCGGACGGGGCCCGGGAGCCCCGAGCGTCAATCAGATGAGGCTCAAGTGAAGTTGGAAAATTTAAGAAGGGTTGAAGCTTCAGTTGCTGTCATAACTGCACCTACGGTTGGTCAGCCGCAGGTGCGGTCAACCCATAACAGATGCGGCCCAGGGCTGGCCAGGCCAAACGGCGGAAGAGGCTCATTAGCCGCAGAAGCGGCTTCAAGACCTCAGATGCGATCCCAGCCCGCTTAGCCAATTCTGCAGATGCGGCCTCCTCTCGCAGAAGCGGGACCACATATGCGGTCCCCTGACCGCAGATGCGGAAATCGCTGAAGTAGTGAGCTTCATTTAATACGGGTTCCAAGTGATCTTTGCCATTTTTCACTCCTCCATTGGGCAATTTTGGGAGCTTTCGAGAAAAGACTTCCACCTAGCATTTGAGGTAAGTTTATCCTAACTATCCCTAGTTTAATACTTGTGTCTTAGGTAGATTAACACACTAAGGTTAGGGTAAAATCATGGGGTTAGAGCAAAACCTAGGGTTTTGATAAAACTTAGATTTTCCCCCGAAATTGGTTATGAAACGAAGTAGAAATCATATATTATTGATCCTTAGGTAACAAATAACAACTCTCTTCGAAAAATTTCGGAATCCGAGCATGTGGGCCGGGGGGGGGGAG